TAGTTTATTTACTGAAATATAGGATTCCAAGGGATTTATACCTTGTCTACAATGGTAATATCAGAGGAGCTGCTGCCACATTTCAACTCAGTATGTACAGGATCATGTCTCTTTCAAATCCACCCTATTCTTCTTATACGACCAGGCGTACTAAAAATTAAAGTTTTAGATAAGCCACACCCACCTATAGTGACTGATAGTTTGCTCCGTTTTGAGCTAGTCAAAGCACTTAAAAATATAAAAACACTTGCAGTGCGCACAAAAGGCATAAAGGAACAGATAAATCAAAAGAAAAAAATTCATAACCACAACAGTTTTCTATACAAGTGGTTCACAAATGACACCACTGAAAAACAACTAAAATGGTTATAAATCTGTCATTATAAGTGGCACAGACAAGCAAATACCTTCAGTACACGCAGCATAGTTGTGTTCATATTATGTCTAAAGGACATTCACCAAACCAGTCTACAGTCGAGTAAAAGTGGTTCAACAAAAATATGAGAGGCCAACACATTTTGTAATATAGCTCTTCAACAAAGACACTGATTGAATCTGTAAATGTGGGACAACACAGCTTATACATCAAAGGTAACATGTACCTACCTAATGTGGTTAAAATGACCACTTTCAAAAAATAAAAAATACAGTCAAGCATTCATAGAACCACCATTTTAGCCAAGAGCATGGCACACAGGATATGACATCATCCTTTGATCTTGTACAGCTTTAATTGGAAACTGACTTCCTGTTTCTTATCCATGTGTGTATGTAGTATCTATGTTTTGAGACCCTACCCTCAAAAGCGGACGCACGGACGGACCCGCCCCGCCCAAAAAGGACGGACTATACATACTATATATACCAAGTGGATACGAAACAGGATGTGCCTATGCTCTTTTCGCCGGATGTGACGTTTTCCGAGATACGCTTAGCAACCAAAATGGTGGCAAAATCAATAATTACAAAAAACTTCATAAAAATCTATATTTCTTCTGAAAAGAGTCAGTACAAGAAACAACAGACAATTTAGCTTCATTGGTTTCATATTCATACCCTATTTGATTATCAAAAAAGAAAATATTATAATAATAGTTTTATCATTCTAATATGGTATATCACAATGACATTAAGTAACTTTTTTCGAAGAAACATAGCTTTAAAATAATTATGAAAATATACAAACCGTACGAAAGGTATGTACGTACTCTCATACAAAATTATACCTCTTCAAATAGCATAGTTTTTCAGAAAAGGCGTTTACAAAACAGACCATAAATAAACTAAAAAATGTACATATTTCTATTTTATAAAACTGCAGTGGAAAGCTAGTAGTTACAGACCATGTAACACAATAACTTCCTTCTTCTACCCAAAATTTAGCACTTACTAACTCTGCCCCAGATTGGAGAAACGGTGTTTAAAGTCAGAACTATAGGCCGCCATGTTTTATAGCACATCGAGATCCAGTGATCAAGCAAACAAGGATTCAGCAGGTCATTTGAGCTAATAGAGACTTCATAATACTTACTTCAACTC